CGCGCCATGGAGAAGACGGAGCTGATCCAGAAGGCCAAGCTGGCCGAGCAGGCCGAGCGCTACGACGACATGGCCACCTGCATGAAGGCTGTGACCGAGCAGGGCGCCGAGCTGTCCAACGAGGAGCGCAACCTGCTGTCGGTGGCCTACAAGAACGTGGTCGGGGGCCGCAGGTCCGCCTGGAGGGTCATCTCGAGCATCGAGCAGAAGACCGACACCTCCGACAAGAAGTTGCAGCTGATTAAGGACTATCGGGAGAAAGTGGAGTCGGAGCTGAGGTCCATCTGCACCACGGTCCTGGTGAGTCCGGGGCGGGCGGCCGGGCCGAGGGAGCGGGCCGGTGTGTGGCGCCTTTCACTGAGGGTCGCCGCCCCCGCTGCGGAGTGGAGGGTTTCGGAGGGTGAGCCTGGGCAGCCTGCAGTTGAGACTGGCTTTTCCAAGGGTAAGTAAAGCCGTCCCCTCCTGCCGGCTTGCCCGCGCGCAGTACAACATCGAGACATGGAATATGTACAGATTTGCAGAAAAGCCGCTTTTAAGCTCTCGCTCTAGGAGGCGGTACTGAGATACACTTTGACCCCTTTAGCCCTAAGGAATCCATTCATAGGCTGCAGGCGGCTGAGAAAGGCACAGGCACCTTGTCCGTACACACCGTAGTAGGTTTTCCTCCCCAGCGTAGTCATGGAACCTGACGTCGAGAATCTGAACAGATACTTCATTTTTCAAGTAGAGCGTCTGTTAAGCATTTCTCTGTTTAAAAAACGGTGGAGGAGGGGAGTCGAGTAGCATGAGAAAGGCACAGCTGACTCTAAAGTACAGAATGTTCTGATAAATTTCAGTGTTCAACGGCATGTCTTTGCTGTGGCATAACCGTGCTTACACTACCGTGTTGAAGTGAATTCGCTTCTGAATAGGCCAAGAAGGCTCTCCCGGTTTTGAACTGTCCAGTCGTAAGAAGGGTGACTGCTGGGTGGAGTTTACCCTTATTGAGAAGAGACCTGGTGGTGTTTTTTTTTTTAGCTTTATCATTGCACAGATCTTTTCATCAGTAAGATAAGCTTTTTTCAATTTAAATACCAGCATTATATCCTAGAGTGTTGTAAAGCCGCACAGTTGTTTCTACAGATAAAGAATAAAACATCTGATCTAGATAAGTGATCTACAAGGAGCCTGATTTTTGACATGTTTGTTGCACATCATATAAGTAGGCTTTGAAAGACCAATTATGCTGAATTAGTTTCCTCCCAGCAAAGGAAATTGGAGAAAAAAATTCCTTTTTCCTTCTCTTCCAGCCTTCTCTCTTTCACCCCATCAGTCTGGTAGAGCAGGGAAAATATTCTCCCCCCCTCATAAAATTCTTTAACATACCTGTTTTTCTAAATCATTAACAGATGATCTGAACAAAATCATGGCTGATGGAAATAACTGGTAAAGGGGCAAAGAAAGCAATTCAGAGTGTGTGCTAGAGAGGAGGGAACTGTTACTGAGATGATTTGTTTTATGAAGGTGAGACTGTTATATTCAGCTCTGTGTTCTTAGCTTTCATTCCCTGCTTGGCAGAGGGAGGCACTTATAAAAGCTTTTTGAACTGGATTGCCTATATTCAAGAAATCTGCTAATTTGAAATCGATGATAGACTTCAGTAGCACATGGTGTTGGTTATCAGGAACTTTGTCATTGGGGGGGGGACGACACACGAGACTCCTGGTAACAGGAATTCTGTTCATGTATTTTATATGATCTCATAGCGTATTTCAGTCTTTTTTGTTCAGTTACTACTTTGCATTTAAGTTACCCTGCAGCAGTTCGGAATTACTACAAGATTTTTCCTGTTCTTCAGCCACTGAGCCAAAGAAATTTGTTTTATTTTATGGCTCTTGTAAATTTTAGTTTAAGTGGAAAAGAGTTTTGCTTAGCTGATAGTGGGTTGAGAGAGGCCAAGTGTAATAAAATAGACCTTTCATAACCATTTCAACAGGAGAGAGCCCCTGAAATTGGGGCACTCTCTTTTTTTAGTACCAGAAGGAAATAGTTGTCTATTTTACCTTGACTAATCTGAGATATCTAGGAATACATAAAATATTTTGTTAGTAAAATAACTTAAGAGCCTAATTGTGGCCAAGCTATAAAAAACATACCCTCGCACTACATATTACTGATTGACAGCTTGCTGTGCGACGCACTGTGCTCAACAGTCCGGAACAAAGCCGAGAACCGTGGAACTGCCCTCCATAACTTAGTGCATAGGAGGACTGTATAGACAGGAATGTTCATTCTCATAAGATGGTTTTTGAGCAAAACGCTATATAGTTTGAAGGGAACAGAAACCCCAGGAAAGGTTTCATAAAGATTGTGGCTTATGGGTGAGCATTGAAGGAGGATGATGTATCGGGTATGAACGTTTCAAGCAGAAGGAACATACAGGATAGCGCTTGTTGGGGTGGGAGGGTGTTTCAGTGTGGCTGGAGCAAGGTATGTATGAATCCATTATAGGAGAAAAGCCTGGAATGGAAGGTAGGAACCATCATTTTTATGAGAGGTCACAGGAAGGGGGTTTTGCTCATGTGGTTGACAATGAGGAGACAGAAGATTTAGAATTATTTTTGAACAGTGTGCTACATCTAGAATTCGTGGTTTGAGTGTGATCTGGACTGATAGACAAATTACTAAAAGACTCGTGAGCAAGAGTTTGATAATTGACAGATTACTGATTTAATAAGAAATCTATCAAAATAATGAGTAAAGAATGAAACCTAAAGATTCTGAACATGTATGCTAAAATGGGATTTTTCTTTCTATGTTGAATAGGAAGGAGATTGTACAGAAAGCAAAGTGAGACTGACTTGGTAATAAAAGAGTAGCGTAAGGACAGCCAGAATTTTGATCCAGAATAGCAAAGATTCTCAGGATCTTCTTTCCCTTTCTTGGAGTAGGTTGGGGTAGAATTTTTTTAGACCATTTATTGAAAATGAATGTAGGGGACAATCCTTAATCACTTTTATAATCACGATATTGAGAAAGGCTAGTGAAATGTGAAAGCAGAAAAAGATGTTAAAATCCAAATGAGTGCTCCCAATAGCAAGGGACGTTAAGAAGGGCAGAGCGGTCAAGACCAAACACTTTGTGGAAATCTAAAAGGAAGAGATTTCAAGTTATCTGTCTATAGGTATAATTTGTAAAACTAGAGGGTTTGATTAAAAATTCTAGGTCTCTCCCATTTCTTATATTTTGGAGCTGGATGGATCTTAGCCATTCTACCTCTGGTCTGACTTCTTCCCACTTCAAAAATGAGTAGTTTAAGTTGCTGTCAACAATACATGAAATGTTGAAAAGCCGATGACTTCAGTTAAATGCTTCAGGAGGAAGTGATGATGCAGAAGTCATTGGTAATCTTATTATGCGTTTGAAGAACGAAGCTGAATTAAAACCCGGACATTGGTTAAACAGCATGTGTAAGATGTTACAGCTCTAGGCAACCAGCAGTTAGCGTAATGGCTATGTCGCTGGACTCCCACGTAGTCGACTGCGGTTCGCGTCCGGGACCCAGTGACTTCACACCGGGCGCATGTGCGTGCATGCCCAAGATCCCGAGAGGAGAATGGAGGAGAAGGGATTGCAGCGTGACCATCTCCTCTGGGGGGTGATTTCTCGCTTTCTGTCTCTATATCTCTCTCTGTCTGTCTGGGATGTGCACGCGCCCTATAGCAAAAACCTCTCAAAAAAAAAAAAAAAAAAGATGTTATAGCTCTAGGACTTGGTTGTCACTTGAAGGGCTAAGCTAAGAAATTAGAGGGTCCTCAAAGCCCTTCTGGGACTTGGAAACAAAGTCTGTCATTTCCAAAGCCATTGACCTTGGAATAAGAACCAGACACTTAGTGTGTACACAAGATAACCTGCCTCAAACACCTTATTACCCGCTCCTGTAGACTGATATTAATAGACTAATTTTGGTAGACTGCTCCAGTATAAAGCATAAACAGTTTCAGAGACTGAAATCTGTATTATGATTTTTAAATAGAAATAATTTAAAACAGCATGTAGAGAATCTATGAAAGTTGTCATGTAAAGATTCTGAAACCTTAATTCAGTAATGTGATTGACTTTATACAGAATAGTCTCTTTAAATGAATATGTTTTTTGCTGGTCATTAGACTGGTAATGTTCTTGTGACTCTTAATGTAATTTTATTGCCAAATGGACAAAGTATTGGCTGTGGCATCATACAGTTTTCAAATCAGTGCTCCATAACCTTGTAGCTTTGTGAGGCCCAGCAGGGTCCCAGCCCGTTTCTTCGTTGCCATAGGGCGGGGGCGCCACCACGCCCCCCACAGTACCTGCCTTTACTTGGCTTATAGTTAGAATAATAGGTAATAAGTGACATGCATACATTAAGCACTGTTTTAAACACTTCACATACTCACTTTGTTCCTATGAGTTGTTTGTAGGATTTGTTTTCTTTTTTAAAGTTGAGGAAGCTGAGGCATAACGTTAGTAATCTGGTCAAGGTTACAAAGCTAGTTAAAATGGTAGGTCAGGGATTTGAATGCAAGTGATTTGACTCCAGGTGAAATGAAACACAGTAGACCCTACTTAAGAGGGACTTCAAAAGTTCGTGGAAGGTGGAAATGAAACATCAATCAACTGGGGGCTGGCAGGTGGCGTGGTGGATAAAAGCGCTGGACTCCCACATGGCTGACCATGGTTCAAGTCCCAAACCTGGCAGCTTGCTTTCTCACTTTCCCTCTCTCTCGCTTTCTCTCTCTCTCTCTCTCACTCTGCCCCTCTCTGGTCAAATTAAAATAAATAAATAAAAGTTAAATAAAATTTAAAAAAATAAAAAGAAAGATCAATCAACTTATTTCTCAACATAAGCTACACCTGCTTCAGTCAGGATACTTGAGTAAGCACTGATACCAGCTAGCCTTTTAGTTCCTCCCTACAGAATTAAGGGACCTAGAAGTTTAACCATGTCAGTGCAGTCTTTTTTACATTATTAACTGGGGGAAAAAATGCATGTCCTTTAAAGTTTTTTCTTTTTTTTTTTTTAAGATCAGGAAACAAAAAGATTTAAGGAAGAGTCATGTTAGGACTGTAAGGTGGATGCCTAATGATTTCTCATCAACACTTGTAAAATTGCCCTTAATTGGTGAGAGGAACCAACAGAGCATTGTCGTGGTGGAAAAGGATGCTGCTGAAGCTTCCCAGGGTATTTTTCTGCTAAAGGTGTAACTAAAAGCACTCTCATCAGAAGCAGATGTTACTGTTCTTTTTTTTTTAGAATTATTTTATTTAACTTTATTTAT